TCCTGTCCGGACACTTTCACACCCCTTCCTGTCCAGGCCAAATTATCAGCTTTTAGCGCTATCACACTTTGATGATAATTGCGCTGGTCATGCAACACTGTACCCAGATGAATTGTTTACCATTTTTTGAGACAGATAAAGCTTTTATTTTGGTGGTATTTATTCACCGCTGGGATTTTCATTTTTTTTTTTCTATGTAAATGAAAATGTCCAAAAATTTTGAAAAAAGTGTTTTTCTTATACAATTTGGCAAATAAATAATATTTCATCATAAATCTCGGCCAAAATTTATTCCGTTATCTTTTTAGTAAAAAGTAAAAAAAAACAAAATTAGTTTATAACCAAAAATTATAATTTTTTAAACATTTTGTTTTCCATTTTTTTATTAATTATTATTTATTTTATTATTATTATTATTGTTTTTTACATACCGTCACCCTAGCAGGTTGCTAGGGTGTTTTTACATACCGTCACCCCTGGTGACCCTGTACTACTTGGGGGTGATGAAGATTTTTTTTTTTTTTTTTTTACACTGATTGCTTTTAGGATATAGGATGCAAGAGGAATCATTTCTCCTCTCTGTCTGCATTCTTGCAGCCATTGAGAACTACTGAGTGAGCTGTGATTGGTCACAGCTTGTCACATGGTACAAGGCTGTTGTGAATAGCCCTGTACCATGTGACCTCAGGGATCATTCACAGATTTCACATGTAGTAAGCAATGATGTCACAAGTGACATCTTGCTTACTACTTTGCATGTGATCACTGATTGGCCAATCAGTGATCACATGATCGGGACCTCGTACAGACGTCCCATCCGACGATCGGTGTTCCACTGTGTCCGGAGGACACAGCAGGCACCGGATCGGTGCGGCCATTCCCAGGAGCGCGCACAAGCAGAGGGCGGGGAGGCCGTTTATAAATGGCCACACCGCCCCTGCACTGCCACCGTCCGGTCCGTTTATATACAATGGCCGGTTGGGAAGTGGTTAAAATTGTTGAAAACCAATATAGTCCCTCTTGAAAAAAAAAACTTTATTCACAGCCATCATTGTCTTCATTTATTTCAGGAAATCTATGGTAGGCTTCTCAAATTTCCACGACGAGTCCCTTGACCTGGGTACTAAAGATGGCTTGATCCAGTCCCACTGAACCAATACCTACCCCCCATCCCTAACCCAGGTAACCACACTGACAGCAAAATGGAGTTAATGGCCCAAAACCGCCTTTTATTACAACCATTGATAAATAACATACACACAGTATAACATACGTTCTTTCAAGGTCCCAATAGGCATCAAGACAATGAATACCTGCATCCTGCTTAACTAGGCCTCCAGCGACTCGGAGACACCACCGCAGATACCCCCACCAGAACACTGGAAGCCGTACCTCAGACGGGTTCCTACAAAGAGTTTTTCTTGTGCCCACATTAACCAATGAGGACTTTGCACCCCGCCGGACGTCTTCTAGCACCAACTGGCACACCCACCACCAAAACAAACCATAAAACCACGGCTGGGCAGGAGGGGAGTATTTGCCTTCTGAAAAGACTGAAGACCCCCTGCCACACCCTGTCAGACCACCCCTTGTAGCTCCACCCGCTCCCTCCTTAAAACCATTTAGACTCCCCTTTAGCTAATGGACTCTCCTCTGCCAACCCCCTTTAACCCCTGTCATGCCGCCCTTCGTTCAGGTCTTCTTTCTTTGTTCTCTGGGCCTTCCTCTATGGTTTGTCCTCCCTTCATACTTCATTCTTCATACTGAGGAATTTGCTGAGCTTGTAGCGTATCTGCTTTGTTTTGATTCCATAGATCAAGGGGTTAATGACGGGGGACAGCAGGATGTAGGCATTACCAAACAGGATATGAAGATTCGGGATGGTGTCGCTGGGATACCGGTGCACCACAGCAATGCCGATATAAGGGATGTAGTAGACAAGGACGGCACATATATGGGAGACACATGTACTGATGGCCTTCAGACTGGCCTCGGCCACCTGGAAAACCACCGTCTTGATGATCAGCAGGTATGAGATGAAGATAAAAAGAGAGTCAAGTCCCATGACGTAAAGAGTAATAAAGAGGCCATAGATGATATTGACCTTTATGTCAGCGCAGGCCAACTTCATGAGCTCCTGGTGGATGCAGTAGGAATGTGTCAGAAGATTACTCCTCCACAATGGAAACCTCTGGATAATAAATGGCAGAGGAACCATTACAGCTGCTCCTCTGGCCATAAGGACCAGAGAGGTCTTTGTGATGGACCGTTGGGTTAAAATGGAAGAATATCGAAGAGGATGACAAATGGCCACGTATCGGTCTACAGCCATGGTAACCAGTATCGCAGAATCCAGGGCAGACATGAAATGGAAGAAGAACATTTGCGTGAGGCACATGGAGAAGGAGATCTGCCGGCTATCAAACCAGAAGATTCCTAGCATTCGGGGCATGACTGTGCTGGCCGATAAGAGGTCCACAACGGAAAGCATGGAAAGGAAGATGTACATGGGTTCATGGAGTTCTTTGCTCATCGTGATAATATACAGAATGACAGTGTTACCAACAACAGCCACCATATACAATAAAATGAGAGGAAATCCAAGAAAGAAATGAAAGTCTTCCAGATTCGCGTACACCCACTAAGAGTGAAGTCATCAATACTGCGGCATGTTAGGTTTGTCTGTCGCCATGATGACCTGCGTGCCACCACGTCCAATACCAGAATCCATATCTTCTCCTACAACGGGAAAGGCAAACGTTAGGCAGATCGTATTATCTTTCCTTTTACATTAATATGTTTTTGGCCAGTAGGGCAATCTCCTTTTTATTTGTTTTTTTTTTCTTCACCAGTGTTTTTTTGTTGTCCCTCTTTTCTCACCCTCATCTCTGTCTATTTTGAAATGGAACCAGACATTTCCACCAAAGAACTTTAGTCCCAGGTCACATAAAACCGAGGTCACCAGGAGATGTGTTAGTTCAGAGCTTGTTAGCTGTTGATAATATCCTAGGAAGCTGACAACTTGGGCTGATCCTTAAAGAGGACCTACTGTACCTGTATATCAGGAAATCCATGCCGTGGAGGACCGTGGAGGACCGTGGAGGGCCATGAGGACCAAGAACTAATCCTGTCATAGGCAGCCTGCAGCTGATCCTTTTCTTAGGAAGACATTCTTTGCCTCATTCTATACTTGTTGAGTGGCCATATTGGCAGGGCCGGTGCAAGGATTTTGGTCGGCGAAGGTGCACCTTTTGGTAAAATATGTAGTACCCTCCTAGTTAGCCAGAGGGAGCTAGCCAATTTTTTTTTAGTTAGGTGATAGTCACATTTGGGTCAGGGCTGAGAGGCTATGCAGATCCTCTCTCTGGTACCTCACCCCTGACCTAGAGACTTGGAGAAGTCTCTAGAACTCAGTGGGTGGAGGTGAAGAGGAGCTGGTCTTCACTCTTGAGGGATCCTGACCAATCCCCAAGAAGAAGGCTTGGTGTGGGGTCAGGACAGCCCTTAAGAGTGATAGAGACTGCTCAGTGGCAGGAGAGTTTGGGTGGAAGATGAAGTAAGGATGGAGTGCGGAGCATGGGAGGGGGGCCAGGAGAAGGACTTACCTGTAGGCAGAGTTGGAAAGGAGGATCTCCTTAGGGAGGACAGCCTGGGAAGCAGGGAAGGAGTCAGCCCAGCCTAAGGCTGCATGAGAGGTCTGAGTGAGTAACCCCACACCCCCTGGACCAGATAAGGGGAAAGGGCATTCAGGTTAGAAACCTGACTAGCCCCCATCTGGGAGTGCTGATTCAGAAGTGGCAGATTCTGGGTCCCCTTGCCCAAGGATTCCCTCTGGCAGCTGGGTGAAGAGGAGAATTGACTTGGGATCTGAGGTGGTACACCAGGAGAGGTTGGATAGCTCTTCCAACCAATAGGCTTTGTTTTGTAATGGACTTGTATGTAGTATGTAAGGAGCTTGTCCTCAGCTTGCAGTTCCCTTAGGCATCCCGTTGACCCCTTACCCCATCCAAGTTCAATACCCCTTAGTAAAATTAAAAACAAACAAGCTCCAGGACTGTTTACTGTCACCAGTGTGCAAGGTCTGAAGAAAATGCGTGTTGCCTGCTTGTACAGGACTATAGGGGGACCCAAAACTCGGTGACTCCTAAGGGGGTGGTGCTACAAATTAAAAAATAAATGAGGTTGCGCCTCATAGATACCCAACATGTCAAACCTTAAAATTGTGTGTTCCCATGAAACGGTGGCACCCTATATTTATATACCTATAGATAGGTTTCTCTTTATGAGACATCCGGGGTTCTATTAGACCCCAGATGTCTCCCTCGTACTTCAGTGCAGCTGATAGAACACAGAACATGTTCCATAGGCTGCTTCCCCCGGGCACTGATCCCCCGCCCCCCGAAGAATGACAGCGCCAGACCTGGAAGTGATTATCATACATGCCACTTCCTGGTCTGTAGACGGAGGGAGGCTCAGCAGATGGATGTCCACTGAGCTCCCGCCACCCTTCCCAACGACACCTGCCATGATCACACCGGGCCCCAGGTGGAGAGCGCAAGCCTGAAACATGGCGGGGACATGGGACATCGGCATTGTGGAAGTGATCAGTGGCTTGTATCACTTCCGTGGCTTCACAAAAGTGCACAAGTGGCCGGGGATTTGGACTTTACCGCCCCCCTATCCCAGCACCCTACGGCAGTTACATATTGGTACAGGAGCAGGGCTTTGCTTCCTCATGTCAGATCCACCAACTGGTAATCTGATGAGTAGTGTTGGGCATTATGTTCGAGCTTCGAATGTCGGGCCGTTCATGTGTTCAGCAACCCACACGAATGGTTAAAGGGCATTTGGCGCGGCGTTTGGCCCCACAATGCACTGCACCCTGACAGTGCATTGTGATTGGCCAAAGCAATGCACCTGACCACAAGTCAGGTGCAATGCTTTAGACAATCACACCGCACAATGACGTCACATGGGGGCAGGGGTGACCCTGCCCCCTTGTGACATCATCACAGTATTTAAGAACTGATTCCTGTCATTTTTTTTTTTGTGAATGAGTAGCAGTACCATGTACCCCTACTCATTCATATTGGGGGGGGGGCTGGGATCTGGGGGCTTCAAGATTCCAACAAGCCCCCCACCTACAGACCCCCACAACCACCTGCCATGGTTGTGAGGAAGTGACCCTTGTCCCCATCAACATGTGGACAAGATGCTTTAGGGGGGGGCCCCTGCCTCAAAGCATCCCCCCATGCTGAGGGCATGTGGCCTGGTATGGTTCAGAAGGGGGGGGAGCTCATTTGTCCCCCCCTTTCCTGACTTGCAGGCTGCATGCTCGGATAAGGGTCTGGTATGGATTTTGGGGGGGGGATCCCCATGCCATTTAAATGTTGATGTGTGGGGGGGGTTCCTCTCAAAATCTATACCAAACCAGAAGGACTTGGTATGGATGCGGAAGGGGGGGAACCTCATGCTTTTTTTTTAATTTTTAAATTGCCGGACAATGCCGGCAGTTCTTCTGACATTCAACTGTCAGCGGGGATCCCCTCTGACAGATGGAACATTACAGAATATTTGTAGCAGCTGTGCGGTATCTTACAGCATACTCAGATAGTAGTCTGGAAACGGCTGGGGCCGCCAGTTTGACACCCGTGGTTTGATGTGTGTCCACACATGGGGTGATCTCCATTCTTCGAGGGATCCACCGGCTGGACCTTCCCAGAGTGTTTGGCGGGTTGGGTTGGGTTTGGGCTGGGTTGGGTTGGGTTGGGTTGGGCTGGGTTGGGTTTGGGTTGGGCTGGGTTGGGCTGGGTTTTGGGTTGGTTTTGGGTTGGGCTGGGTTGGGCTGGGTTGGGTTTGGGTTGGGCTGGGTTGGGTTGGGCTGGGTTGGGTCGGGCTGGGTTGGGTTGGGTCGGGTTGGGGGGTTGGGTCGGGCTGGGGGTGGGTGGGCTGGGTTGGGTTGGGCTGGGTTGGGTGGACTGGGTTGGGGGGGTGGGTTGGGCGGGTTGGGTTGGGTTGGGCTGGGGTTGGGTTGGGTTGGGTTGGGCTGGGTTGGGGGCTGGGGCTGGGTTGGGTTAGGGTTGGGTTGGGCTGGGTGGGTTGGGCTGGGCTGGGTTGGGTTGGGCTGGGTTGGGCTGGGCTGGGTTGGGTGGGTTGGGTTGGGCTGGGTTGGGGGGGCTGGGTGGATTGGGTTGGGTGGGCTGGGTTGGGGTTGGTTGGATTGGTTGGATTGGGTTTGGGTTGGTTTGGGTCGGGCTGGGTTGGGCTGGGTTGGGTTGGCCCAGAAGAGCATTTTTATTTTCCGGTTACAGGAAACACGTTTATTCATCTTTGCCCATCAACATTTTTTTTTTTTTAGCTGTTTTAGTTGTATTTTTGTGTTTTTAAATGTACACATTCTTATCACTAACCATATTATTATTATTATTATTATTATTATTATTTTTTTGCATCTTTTTCCACTTATATTTTCCAGTTTCTGTAAAAATTATTAACAAATAATAAAGAAAACCATGAAAATACATTTTATTGAAACCATGAAAACACCAAGATTTTGGCCATATTCTGCAGGCCTGGAAACCTGGACACTTCCTGAGACTATTTCTAAATAAAATCTTTCTTTTCTTTTAAACTTTAAGTTTCGGCCTTTTTGTTTTTGTTTTTGTTTCCCTCTGTGAGCTCCATTAAGATGTCCTTCCTAACCCCATACAGGGTGAGTTGTACCTTCATGGGGAACTCTGATCTCCTGTCCTGTGTACCGGGACCCCCATAATCCAAGGTGCAGCCACGTCACAAGGGTCACAAATACGGGGTCCTTCATCCAGGTATGATGGACATTCTGAGGAGAGAGAGATCTCTATTATTATATAGCTCTGACATATACTGCCGCGCTGTACAGAGATCACTGAGCCAGTCCCCTCCCCCGCAGTCCCATCAGTCTCTGTACCAGAGGAGCTTACACTCTAATGTCCCCTCCCCCACAGTCCCATCAGTCTCTGTACCAGAGGAGCTGACACTCTAATGTCCCCTCCCCCACAGTCCCATCAGTCTCTGTACCAGAGGAGCTGACACTCTAATATCCCCTCCCCCGCAGTCCCATCAGTCTCTGTACAGAGGAGCTACACTCTAATGTCCCCTCCCCCCGCAGTCCCATCAGTCTCTGTACCAGAGGAGCTTACACTCTAATGTCCCCTCCCCCCGCAGTCCTCATCAGTCTCTGTATCAGGGGAGCTGATGCTCTACCCCTAATGTCCCCTCCCCCGCAGTCCCATCAGTCTCTGTACCAGAGGAGCTTACACTCTAATGTCCCCCTCCCCCGCAGTCCCATCAGTCTCTGTACCAGAGGAGCTTACGCTCTAATGTCCCCCTCCCCCCAGCTCATGTCCCATCAGTCTCTGTACCAGAGGAGCTTACACTCTAATGTCCCCCTCCCCCGCAGTCCCATCAGTCTCTGTACCAGAGGAGCTTACACTCTAATGTCCCCTCCCCCGCAGTCCCATCAGTCTCTGTACCAGAGGAGCTGACACTCTAATGTCCCCTCCCCCTGCAGTCCCATCAGTCTCTGTACCAGAGGAGCTT